ATGGGTTTGAAATATTCATTAAAGTTCGCTTATTTACTCATTCTTATCTTTCCATGAATGAAGATCATTGGCTTGGTTTAACCCAGTAAAATGAATAGATTAGAACTTTGGAAAAAATAACATACCTTAAACAATGTTCAAAATACGTGTATTCATCTCATTTTTCTAATTGTTATATAGCGTAGAATAAGCTTCCCTGACTCGTAAGAGCTAGTAGATCTAAAATACGACCGGTTAATTATTTCAAAACACTGATGTTTTAATGCGTTGAAATTCGTTAAAATGACCTGTTGAGGTCACGTTATTTATGTTCATTCGCATTTCTCTGTTCCCATGATATGGCAATGTTACGTTATTGATACATCTTCTTGTTGTTTGCTTCGTCTCGTATAATCTTATATATATATATATAAGTATTTAATTATTTCAATGTGTTTGAGTGAGGCATATAAGTTCTACTTCAAAACCCCGTCTCCGTTATTTTTATACATGTGCAGCTATCTTCCTTTAAATGTCAGTGTGTACCAGTCTCTTGAACCATCTAATTACGTTATATCCACTTTCGTAATAATGGTATCTCCCATTTTTCTTAGTTGGAATACCAACTTTATACAAGTCACCAAAGGATATTGTTTCATATGTGAAACAACTAAGCTTTGATTTGAACAGTCAGTTTTCAAATTAGCAGTTAGTTTCTTGAATTTTGTTGAAATTATGAAATGATCCAAGTTGGATAACCAATCAAAACCTGAAGACATTGAATGACCGTTTTGTTTTGGTATGGGACTACCCAGAAGTGCGCACATTTGACCTTAAAATCTATACTCGAACCCAGATCTATAGACCACTGAGATAATGTCCAATGGTGTATGGGTCTAACGTAAATCAATACGCGACATTATGCAGTCATCTTCTATCGTTTTTGGTGGTAGCTGCATCATACTCGACACCTAGATATACATGAATTCTGTAATTAGTATGGTGAATACTAGGTCTACGGCATTTGTGTACGAATTAGACGACGAATTATAAAAAGAACTATGTAATTTAGATCTTGATGCCTTCTTCTTCATTTCGCATTTTATGACTTCATCAGATTGTTCTTCACTCTAGTTTGTCTTTATATTTTAAGATTTGAAACACTGCATAGCCACAATGTTTTTCCCTATCAATCAATTTTTCAAATAACCCTGAATCGAGTTCATTTTTATCACTTGAATTATTAACAATAAAAATAAGCTTTACTTCTTTTAAACACCTCAGATTTTAGTTTAAATAGTTGGGTCAGAATTGTTGCTTCATTTTTAAGTTAAGCAGTGTATATGTTTAAATTTTGAAAGTTAAGATATCAGATCATCAAGTACGGAAGAGATTCAACCAAAATCCGCTTTTTTAATTCAATATACACAAAATATGTGTACAGAAGCTGATAAATATTCATTCACCATTATTTAATTCATTTTTACATGGAAATCGCTTTCGTAAACTGACATCTGAACAAGTTGTTTTTTTTCGAATGGGTATCAAGAAAACATCAATGCTGTATGAATAAACGATGAAAATTAGCTGATATAGGAGAGCTTGAGTTCGTGTGATAATTTTTTATGGGAAACAACAAGTTATCAAAGCTTACTGATAATATAAAAGATAAATGATTCTTTCTCTGTATTTAGAACATTGGTTTTCAATCAATGGTAGGTATTATACTTAGGAGAAACGAATGATTATGTCAGAACATATAAGTTTGTCTATGAATATTCAGAAAATATCCAGGCACGGAAACACTTAACACCTCTGATAATGTACATTGTTATATTTCAGAATTTTAAACATCCCCTTTCTTTTTTTAAATCTCATAAACATTTAATTTAAGCAAGTCAATTATCTTAAAAAATCATATTCATATCGTGTGCTAACATTTATAAATGGGTATTGACTTTTGTCGAATACTTAAGGCTTTAGACAATGAGATTATATAAATATCTGAAGAACATAAATACATTACTGTGAAAATGCAGTAGAATTTTATATTTCTAATTTGAAAATTATTTATTGAATATAACTAGGGTGAAGCACACAGTGATATTACTTTTGTCCTGGAATGAGATTTGTTCATATCAATCAATTTCATTATTTCTGTCTGCTACAACTGATAGTAATTCTTGGTAGGATTCAGTTTTGAATAGCATACACTGTACTGAAAATAATTTACTGTTTCATATAAAGTAATCCAAAATTTAAGTTTTCACATGTACATAACATTAAATTATAGTTACATTTTGTCGTATTATTATTATTAGCTTTATTCAATAATATATTCTTGATACAATATAGAATTCTCAGCGCAAAGTATTTCAAGAAGTTTATGTTTCTTATTTCTTGATCGATCCTGACGATAAATATTGAGTGACCGCCAATTAGATGTTAGCAGTTTAGGAATTGACATCTGAATAACGTATACCCTTTTCTATGTACGAATTATTTTTTCTGATTAAGCTTTTTTTAGCGAATCAATTAGATGATTTGGACTTCGCAGATGACCTATCCCTCCTATCTCATACACACGAGCGCATACAGACGAAGACAACGGATGGAGCAGCAGGCTCTGCATCAATAAGCCTCAACATACACAAAGGAAAAAGAAAGATTCTCAAATACAACACGGAGAACACTAACCCAGTCACACATGGTGGAGAAACTCTGGAAGAGGTGGAAACATTCACGTACCTGGGAAGTATCACTGATAAACAATGAGGTTCGGACGCAGATGTAAAGGCGTAGATTGGCAAAACAAGGACCGCATTTCTACAACAGAAGAACGTATGGAACTCAAAACAACTGTCAAATAATTTCAAAGTGATAATCTTCAATACGAGTGTCAGGACAGTCCTACTGTACAGAGCTGAAACGTGGAGAACTACTACAACCATCGTCAAGAAGTTACACGTATTTATAAACAGTTGTCTACTCAAAGTACTCAACATTCACTGGCCTGATACCACCAACAACAGCCTTCTGTGGGAGAGGACAAACCAGATTGCAGCTGAAGAGGGAATTAGGAAAAGACATTGGAAGTGGATAAGATATACATTAAGGAAATCACCAAACTGTTTCACGAGGCAAGCCCTAACTTGAAATGATTAAGGGAAGCGGAAAGGAGGAAGGCCAAAGAATACATTACGCCGGGAGATTGAAGCAGATATGAAAAGGATGAATGGTAACTGGAAGGAACTGGAAAGAATTGCGTAGGACAGAGTTCAACGGAGGATACTGATGGATGGCCTATACTCCCCAACGAGGGGTAACAGACGTAAGTAAGTAAGTTTACGATGTACATTGCCAGCAACCACAATGTTTCTGATTGTGTTCTTTCCTAACTTGTTGAGAGAAAGGTCGCGAACTTTTCACAAACGCACCCGAATAGGTTGCGCAATTAATCTGTTGAAACAAACAAAAGACAGATAACTTGTTGAAATATGTAGATGACAGGATCAGGTAGCCCAGATATTCAATCAAGACGAATTACATATCTGAGATGGTTATCTTGTTCATCGTATTAAGCTGACAACACCAACAAAAAATAATATTATCATTCAACAGAGCTTAGAAGGCGAAATAATTACACTAGCAAAGCGTACAAAATGTTTGATTATACCACGAAGTAGGATTTAATTAAAAGGGTTTTATTGGTTGTAGGTGTAATTACCAATGTATGACTTAATTTCCAATCCATTGAGCCTTGGGTATATTGTTGTTACTTAAAGTAATATATTTGTAATACCCCAAGGAGTAGAAAAATTAAATTTTTAAAGTTTCTAAAGTTTCGTGACTTCTTCAGAGAATAAATAAACAAATTAAATTAATCCATGTTCAAGTACAACAAAGGTACAAAGCAATAATATTTGGTGCTATCAATAAAAAAACAGGTCTGACCAAGTCAATGTCATGTCATTCCGATCAAAGTGATTTATGTGAAACATGTTTGTGTATTCGTGTGTGCATGTTAATGGATGGAAAATGTGACATTTGTGATGTGAAAGGATAGAGTTTAATTTGTACGTACGTTAATGGTGTGAGATGTGAATAAAATCAGACATGGTAGCTCAGATAGACGGTCCAAGTCGAATGTATAGTGAGACCTTCTTTTCTATTGAGGCCAGTAGAATTAAACAAAATATCTAACACTTTAGCTGCTCGTCTTTCTTTGCAGTTAGGATAACCTTTCCGTATTATTTTCAACATTGACTTGATGAATTCGCTTGGCATTGTTTACTTGAATCTTCTCACTGATGTTTAGCACTGCGATCGGTCAGTCTGTTATCAGCATATTTGCATACTGTGAGTATTGCCTCGATATTGCTTTAAGTCACAAACATTATAAGCAAAGATAGGTAGTGGCTAGCAGTGGAAAACTCTCTAGCTTATTTGATGAAAACAATATTTGTAAATTACTGGATCTCATTCTTATGATCTGTTTTCCTTACTTCGGTTCAACTAATATTACACTAATACTTTTTATATATTATCTGTTACATCAATGAGAGTAAATCTACTATTTACTTATTTTCACGACGATTAGTTGTCATAGTTACAGGGATGGTAATGTTATTATGGTTTATTTACAGTACTTTGTAATAACTGTTTTATATTGTTATTTCTACAAGCTGACCCTGGTGTAGGTTTATTTATTTTGTTTTTGGTTGATATAATTAACATTTATTATGTTTTTTTGAGTGTTTCAACGGTAAACGGTTGTTTGAAAAGAAATACTATTGCAATAATATAAGAATATGAATTTGAGAAGGTAGGTGGTTAGTCAGTTCATTTGTTGGTTAGTAAATAAAGTAATAAATGAACCAACTACGACGAATGTATACACTAACAATATAGACAGATATAATACCATATGTGTGCACATGAGAAAGAGATATATGAAAGTTAGTAATGTATATAAGAATAGAACAATTCAAATAAAATTCTTTAAATGAAAAGCTTAAATAATAAATCCCACGCAGTAACTTACTTATGTGACAACTAATCTAAAACATGTCTGTAATTCTTCAGTATCGTATACATAAGTGGATAAGAGTAATATTATCGCTACCTTTGCTAATAATAATAAAAAAAGATTAGAAAGGAACAAATAGGTATGATGAAAATAGTAAGACAAATAATTTGCCCTAAATGTCTCAGAATTTATATATACATATATTACAAATGTCTAAATATATTAGTGTTACATCGATGTATGGATAGACTATTCAGTCCCAAATACATGTCTACATTTCGTTTTACAAAAGACGGAAAATAACCTTCCTGACAAACATACATATACATTATAGAATACTACTAGAATATAGCAAAACTATTTTCATTTGACTATCTAATTAAGTTATCTCTTCAGTTTATATCATTATTTTTACCTGAAAACAAATCCTTTAAAAAAATCTAAACATCATCAACATTATCGGTTGCAACATCAGTATCACCGTGATCATTCACATTCTAACATGTCGCGTGAAATGCTCTTTATGTCAACTATTTTATTCTAAGCAATAGTAAAAACAAGCCAGGCGAAATCATATTATATTTTCCATTGAAAAAAACACAAGGAAAACTAAGTTGAGTAGTTGTTTGAATCGGCAACTGAAACATTTAATTCAAATATTTTTTTCAATAAAATAGACGATTAAAATGAAAATATAATGTATCATTATAGATTGTGATTTAAATGTTTACATTGGCCTAGAATTGATAGTAATAATAATAATATCAAATAGCAAAAGTGAATTTACATCCGACTCTAACAACATCAATAATCACATAGTAATTTAGTGAAAACAATCAAACTTTTGCGTGGAGATTTTTAATCAATAGAAGTAAGTTGATCATTTTTAACCATATAACTGTCGGTAATTCAACTTAAATTTATCACTATTTTGATCATGGTGCAGTGCTATTTTGGGTTAACATTCGCAAAATGACTTTTTTTAATATTTTATGTTGCACAGGAATAACATTTGGTATGCCCATACTAACAATGATATAATAATCGCTATGCACTTTGAATATATGTTTATTTGTTCAATCATTTTCTTATCAGTGAATGGTAGTCGTTTTATATCAGTATGATTAAGGATTTGATCTTCCCAAAATACAAAATTCTACACATGTATTCATACTAAACAACCTTACCGTATATCCTTGTTTTGATTGCATATTGTTTTAGCTAAAATTATCAAATTTCCAGTGATTATGCTTTGCGATACTTCTGCTGTAAAGTGAATGACATGTCTTTCAAAACAAAGGATAATTTTTTTTCCGTTGGAGTAGTTGAATAATTAAAATTTCATACTATCTTACAGCTTTTATTTGGTTTTCAAGTCTATTAAAATTAATTTTTTACTCAAGAAAATGTCTATTCAAATAATTTTGAATTGTTTCAGAGAAAATTCGAAATTTGATTCTCGTTTTACAATTATTTGTTGAATAATCTCAGAGAATGAATACCTTTATGACAAGTGTAGCGTTAACAATGGATCACACCTAAGTATCGTATTTTCTCACTTTTTTTAAAACATACTTATTAAACATCTACCTTAAGATACTTATGTAAACAGTCCAACTACAAAAAATATTTTGTTACGGTTATCAGTAAAATCAAAGAGCTAATTTCATGATATAACAACTGCTCTTTACCCATTAATAGGCTGTTAATTTGAATACATTTTAGGGTTTTAAAATAATTTACATGAAACTGTGAACCCAGGTTATGCGTTGGTTATCATGTACTTGTAGGTATATCTAGTATCTTGAAGGCAATGCAACTGTTATGAGATTTGAGTCTTTATTTCTCACTGTCATATCAAGAGACGTTATTATTGATCTATTATGACTGCGATACTGAGTCAGCTAGATTAGTCGCTAAACTTCAGTGCAGTCTATAACATCTTCGATGTAGTAAATACAGGATTACCCGACTACGGCTACAGTCACATGATAGATCAGTCCAGTCAAGCATCATCAGTTGAAGATCTCACATCCGTACTCAAATCATATGTGCGAGATTTCTCATTTGACAAATGTTTGGCACATATATTTTTGACAATCAAATACCTATTCAGCCGTTCTTATCTACGATGATGAAATTCTCTTAGTGTTTTTACTGAATGTATTCCGAATTGATAACGTATTCATAGGTCTCATAACTTCAAAGTTAGACATACACTATCCCTTTCAATACTGCCTGTTGATGTCACAAATATCACAATTTATTCTCGTAATACTTTCTTCGATGGAACGCTTTGTGTAAAAATAGTCTAACTTTTAAAGAATATAGTTGTACAGCGAGAAAATGAGACTTCAGTATTCTCTTTGGCAAAGCATCATCTGAATGCCTACATCAGACTATATAATTAGCCTGGAAAATTGAATAAACGTTTTATTCTGTTCACATTAGATACATGAATGAATGAGTAGTATTAATAGAAAATAATTTACTATATTTCATGAAATATTGTACATCATGTCCTAAAAGACCTGGCATATAAACCTCTATATCCATGTCATCATCATCAAAATGTAAGTTAAACGGATACAGTCAACATAATCCATCAGATCGATGCAAATGTAATATGTAGTACTCCATCTAACTTGTCCTATATCATCAAATTTTGCCACGTACTCAGCGAAACCCATAAGAATTTATCTAAATAAATTTATTCTTCCCATTCAAAGAACCGATTGTAAAGTCTCTTACTTCTTTGACCACCGAACTAGTTTCCGACCTTTCATTTTCCATTTTTGTTGAGATATAATTATTTCCAATAAATAATGGAACATTGGTGCAAAGGCACGCTTACATTTAGTGCATACAGTTATCCACAAACTGGAATTATTCTATATTAGTTATGCAGAAATTCATACACTCTAGGGTTCCGTTTTTATAATTTTCCTTAGTATTCGTCAACCCATACAGGTACATTCTATGAATATTTATAGGTTCCATTTATCACAGATTCATCTCATCTAGTCTTTCATTGAAAGCCAAATAACACTGGAAAGTTATATGCGTTTAATACGGGATTTTTCAGAAGTGTTTGCCTACGCTCCATCCAAAGGCGAAATCCAAGACCTTCAGTTCTCGTTTCGAATGCCTAAGCGTCGGTGTCCAATGGCATAACTCCAGCTCTAATCAATTTGCGATGTGACGCAAGCATCCAGTGCTATTAGTGACAACTGTTTCAGTCCTTACGTCCTAAGTAGATCAAAATTTAACGTTTTCACACATTATCTATAGGTTCACAAAATGATGATTGAACATAACTTTACCTTAGTGTGATTGTTTTACTTCAGTCTCATATATTTCGACAAGCATAACGAATGACAAACCTTCTGGTTCATTAGTTGGATGAAACAGTTTCATAACTCTGGATTGTGGTTACAAGAGTATAAAAATGCTCCTTACAAAAGCAAATTAAATTCTTATGACCAAAAAGGAATTTTACAAACACCGTTTGAACACTATGAAAAGCAGATTCAAGATAAAGTCATGAAAATTAGTTTTCTGAAATTCTTCTCTCTTATTTATTATTCTTCTGTCACAAGCATATCTTTGGCCAAGTCCTAAAGTTTATTTTCCAACCCATACATTAGCATCCAAAGCTTTAGTAATCTGGTTGTTATACAAATATAACCAATTTCACATTCGCAGAGTCCCTGGTGAAAACTTTGTTTTTAATGAATCACTTGAAAATGTAACATTTTTGGTTATTGACAATGTAGATTCGTGGCCATCTAGGTAACAATATATTTTAATAAGTTGTGTACAAACAGACATATATCATAAGACATCAATAAATCTACATTGATTCTCTCTTTTCTTTAGAAAATATGCAAATAGAAGTCACATAAGTGATGGAGGAAATAGTCACATCTTTATATTAAGTAGTTCTTATGAAAATCAATAATTAGAGTGAATTACGGATGAAAATTGCCATAATTAGTCAAAGAAAAAATTGAAAGCTTTTGATGAATACAGTCATTATGATGTTCTTAGATTTTTTCCAAGTAAATTGGCAACAGGGTCACAAAACTTTGTTAAGTGGCTACATGTTTACAACAACTGAGTAATTATGAAGAAAAAAAAATAATTATAGTACTAATGGTTATATAAAAGCGGAGAAACGAAAAAAGAAACTTCTAACACGAATAAGAATCGATTTGTTAATCCCTTTAATTATTTGAATAAGCTATTTATGTGAACGACCAATCCTTCTTGATATTTAAAGAGATGAGAATAGATAAATAAATTTATTATTCACGTAGCAACCTACTTGAGCCACTTTGTTCCTTATAGTTGTATTAGTGTGCATTAAACATATGCGATTAACTGAATGATATCTTTGGATAACTAAAAGAGCTTTATTTTAATTAAAATGATGTTTGTTGTCTAACAAATGAACATGTAAAATTGCTTAATTACATATAAGTTTAAGCTTCCTGACTGTAAAAACTGGTGTTTCAAAACTTGTCAATGAAGTGATTTATTCAAGGGTTGGTAGTTTAAAAAATCCATATAGAAGTGGCAAGTCTAGATAGTTTGTCTCCCTCTATAACACTGAAGACAGGACGATTATAGAACATAAAGTAATAATAATTCATTATTTCTATTTAGTTGGAATATTTTACTCATTCAGTATATAAAAACTTTTGTCTAAATTAGAGCGAATAGTTTTACAGTATTGCCAGACGAAACGTTGGATTTACTTCAAATTCATTCGCTGAGATTTTACAAATATGTTATTCCTATTTAATGTCTTACTCATTCAGTATTTAGTACTTTAATTATGGTCATCATAACTTGACAAAACAGTAGTTTTGACTTTACTGTTACATAAAGTAAATTAGCCTTGTTTATTGAATGATTATTCAGTCATAAATATTAAAAATGGCCATATGGCAATTTTATTTATATACTGAGATAATTACTTTTCTAAAACTTTTCAAATACATTTACTTCTAAGTAATTCTGTTATCCAAATCAATAGGGTTTATTATAAAATAACAAATTTCTAATCAAACTCAGACGGTATAAATACTCAGGATAAAATGAAAAATAACAATATTGGAAGTTCGTTCATTTACAACTCTGTCCAAATTAAATAATAATCCTAGACAATCTCTATGAAATTCATCGGCAACAAAAAACTCTCTTAGATGACCTAACGTTTAAAATGGTGTTGTAACATATTGTACATTTCATGACTTATTTACCAGGATTACATCGAATTACCATTAATGAGCATTAAATCGATTATAAAAATAAGTCAGAATAATCTCATCATTAGGAAGTTCTTTACTCTGTATAATAACACAAAAGCAGATGTTTAATTTACCTCAATAATTAAAAATAAAAAGCCGGGCATCAACAGTTAACAGATGTAAAAGTGTAAGAGAAAAAAATCTTTGGCACAAAGTATTAAGCTGTAGATGAGATTTTAGTGTATCATGGATGAGATTTTGAGTTTCTAAGCTATTTCCTTGAATTATAATATATGTTTTGTGGCTGAAAATGAAATTCAGGACTGGTGTTTTGCTCTAATTGCGACAACACTACAAAATGTAGCAGCATCTCAATAACGATATTCATACTGAGACTCGAAATCAGTACATCTCACTTCAATCTTCAGCACTGGGATCTAGTTACATCCAGTTAGGAAGTTACTTATAAGACGAAACATACGTTCTGGGTTTTACTACTAGCCCCAATCCATATATTACGAAATGGCCATATTGAAGCAATCTATCCAAAATACACATGCACTAACAAAGACTGGTTAAAAATAGTTTTTTGAGTTTTGAAGAGGGCAATGAGGAA